TCAGTCTTAGCTCCACAAGGCCATCTGGAAACAGCGAGGAACCAGCCCCTGCTGCATCGGCCCTGCCCCCTGGGTGCATGCTGGGGACGTGTCACCCTTTGTGAGGAATGAAGAAATGCACCATTGCCTGGAAGTGGCCAGCAAATGGCCTTCACCTATTTCACATATCCAGCTTGATGGGCTCCGGGGAGGGGTTTTGGCAGGCTGAGCTGGGTGGCACAAATCCAAAAAGAAGTGTGATGCCACCCACCCCCCAGTCTGCCTGCTTTTGGCAGGCAGCAGGGCGCTCTCCTCACAGCACCGAGAGGCTGAGCTGGGCGGCGTGAATCCAAACAGAAGCACGAGGACGCCCAGCCCCCAGCCTGCCCAGTTTCGGCAGGCAGTGAGGCACTCTCCTCACAGCACCAAGAGTGGCACAAATCTGATGAGAAGTGCAATGCTGCCTAGCCCCACTCTGCCCAGTTTCAGCAGGCAGCAAGGTGCAAAGCTGACGAGCTTTGCACCGCCCGGATCAACCTCTTCTCAATGATGATATCTTGATGATATCCTGATATACAGCACGAATATGACTGATCACATAAAGCTAGTGAGAGAGGTGTTAAAGAAACTATTGAATGCCAAGCTTTATGCCAAATTGTCAAAATGTAAATTTCACCAAACCCTATTAGACTATCCTGGCTACAGAATTTCCAACGAGGGTATTGAAATGGATCCAGTCAAGGTGAAAGCTATAATCGAATGGCAGCCCCCAAAGACTTGCAAACAGCTCCAGAGCTTTCTGGGTTTTGCCAACTTTTATCGTCAATTCATCCCCTCTTTTGCCGAGATTGCCCTACCTCTTACAGAACCACTCAGAACAGGCAAAGGAGGAGGGAAGCCATGACCGGGCCAACCACTAGCATGGACAATGGGCTGTCAAAAGAAAGAAAGAAAACTGCTCAGTGGCTAACGAGGGAAAAATCCAACCGGCTCACGCAGGAACCTGATCAACCCGAGGTGGCGCAGCAGTTAGGGTGCAGTACTGCAGGCCACTTTAGCTGACTGTGTTCAGCAGGTCAGCGGTTCAAATCTCACCGGCTCAAGGTTGACTCAGCCTTCCATCCTTCCGGGGTAGGTAAAATGAGGACCCAGATTGTTGGGGGCAATGTAAATATATATATACATTGCTTACTGGTGTACACCGCTTAGAGAGTGCTTGCACTTAAAGCGGTATATAAGTCTCATAAATAAATAAATAAATAAATAAACAAACAAATAAATAAATAAACCTGTTGCTCAGACCCTTCTCAAACCTGGGAAGAAATAGCTATGGACTTTATAGTAGACCCACCTGAAAGTAGTGGAAATACTGTCATCTGGACTGTAATAGACCTGTTCTCAAAGCAGGCTCATTTCATCACCTGCAAAGGACTCCCATCTGCCCAATGACTGACCAAATTGTTCCTGAAACATCTACCGGCTGCATGGCACCCCTAAGCGAATAATTTCAGACAGGGAGGTGCAGTTCACAGCGAAATTTTGGAGAAGTTTCTTTACATTAATTGGATCATCTCAAGGTTTGTCATCTGCTTTTCATCCGGCCACCAATAGGGCCACAGAAGCCGCTAACAAAATGATGGAGCAATATCTTAGATGCTACGTTTCTTACCAACAGATGAACTGGACTGATCTCCTCCTTTTTGTTGAGGTGGCGTACAATAATTCTGTGCACAGCAGCACCAGCTACACACCTTTCAGAGTGGCCACAGGAAAAGAGTTCAGCCCAATACCTGAATATCCTCAGTTGCCCTCTGCTTCCCAGACACTTGATCAAGTGAGGGGGGGGGGAAGAAGTTTGGAGAAAAACAAAAACTGCTTTTAAAAAGACTTTTGAAATCTATAAAAAGCAGGCTGATAAAAAGAGGGCTCCCCAAAGAACATTCCAAGTTGGGGAAAAAGTCTATCTGTCAACTAAATATCTAAGCCTCAAATTGCCCAGCAAGAAATTGGGACCTAAATTCTTGGGGCCTTTCCCCATAGTAAGGATCATCAACCCAGTCACAGTAGAACTAAAACTCCCTAGACTTTTAGGGAAAATTCACCCAGTTTTCCGTTTTAGCTTGTTGAAGCCTTATCGGGGCTCCACTTTAAGACCTCCTTCGAAGAAGGCACCTGGACCCCTCGTAGTTGCGGGACAGACCCACTATAAAGTGAAACGTATTCTTGATTCTAGAATCTTTAGAGGGAAATTGCAGTACCTAGTGCAATGGAAGGGATACCTATTGTCTGAAGCCACCTGGGTGAAATTGAGTGAAATGAAAGCTGACAGATTGGTCAAAAGGTTTCATGTGAAACACGCCAACAAACCGAAAGATAACCCTTAACATATGCTTTTGTTTACTTTACAGGATCTGTCCTTCTTGTAAGGGGGGCCGGATGTCAACACTGCAAATATTGTATATTCTTGCTTTGACAATATGCAGAACTGTCTGGTATTTTGGGGGTTAATACAGAGCAGAAGGGGGTGGGGGCAAAGCCCAGGAAAGAAAGAGGAACGAAAAGTTTGACCTTCACACTAATTGGATAATGTGATATATGACAGCTAATTTAGGGAGGAAACATGCTGATAATTTAACTGCTCAGAGGAAGAGAACTTAGATCTTAGCATAAAGCCTCTGTTATGCCTGTGCTGACATTTTGTAATAATAAATGACTTTTAGGAAAATCAATGCTTGGAAGTTCTTTGAAGTGTTTCATTAGCCGGAACCATAACATCGGCACTGTGAAGAGATTGCCCTGCTGCCTGCCAATACCGGGCGGGCTGGGGGCTGGGTAGCATTGCGTAGGTAATGTTGACTCTCACGCTGCTCATGGCATCACCTCTCCCAGAGCCCACCAAGCCAGATATGTGAAGTAGGTGAAGGCCATGTGCTGGCTACTTCCAGGTGATGGTGCATTTTTTCATTCCTCACAAAGGGTGACACATCCCCAGCTGCATTTATTGCCTGTTTTTCTCCCTCCTCTCAAATATTTTCCCACCACTCTGTACTTAGGAAGGAAGGAAAGAAAGAAGGAAAGAAGGAGAGGGAGGGTCTGAGGGAACTCCTGCCTTAGTCTGCCCTGCTGCCCTTTCACCATCCCCTTGCCCCCTCCTCCTGGCTTATTCTGGGGTTCTCCCATCCTATTGCTAAGGAAGCTTTGGATACAAAGCCGGGTCTCCTCCCATGGATAGGGAATGGGCCTCCCTCTGATTTTGCCCTCGTACCAATCATGAGCAACCTGGCCAAGGAGAGCAAGCACAGCAGCAGCAGCCTTGAGGAGGAGATAAGTGCAGCTGGGTCCCCCCCTTGGGCAAGTGGGGCTGGGCTTGGTGACGCGGGTGCTCAAAGGCCAGGCTGGGCATTTGACCTCTGCTGCCCAGGGCTCCGGGCAGCCCGCACCACCATCCAGCCCCCCCATGGCCTGAGAGGAACAGTGAGGCTCCTCCAGTGGACCATGCCTTGGCACTTGCCCTGGCCCACCCCCTTCTGCCATTCCCAGATCTGTTTCACTCCTGCCCAGGCCCCCACAGGCCCCCTTGACGTGAACGATGTAGAGTTGGCCACACCCACCCACTAGGCTGCACCCACCCTGGCCACACCCACCTAGCCACCTAGCCCCCCAAGGGCAACCGCACTGCTGATGTGGCCCTCAATGAAATTGAGTTTGACACCCCTGGTCTAACAGTTAATTTTAACTCCCATTATAAATCTAAGTCCTAAATATTAAAAAAAAACTTATCTCTGAAAAGCTGCTTTGCCCATTAAATAGATTTCTAAATCCCATTTTTAAATCTAACTCTGGCTTTCCTTTTGTGCCAAGTAGGTTTCCATGCCAGTGCCTCTAAAACCTAGGATGTATCTCCCTTCATTCCTACACCTGTTGTTTGAATCAAGGGAGAACGTCCAGTTATCAGTCTTTCAAAAGAACTGGTCCCTTTGTAATTGTTAAGTTGTTGCCCTAATAATTCAAATCTCCATGTTTGGTTTAAGGTATTTATAGTCAGTCTGGTCCTCTTCTTCTTGCAATTTCACCTGAGTAAAGTAGAGAGTCATATCCGGTGTTGTTGTTGTTTGGTTATCTAAAATGTCTAAGTTCTCTGCTTTTGGAGTTACAGGTGCTGTAGTTAAAGTCAGTGATTGAGCATCAAAGTTCTCAGCCACTTGTGCATGTTGTATTAAGTCTTCTTTAATGTTAAATTGTTCGTCTTCTGTTATTTTTGGGGTTATAGGTTGATCAGTTTGAGTTTGAGGTTCAATTTGTAGTCTTGTAAAAATGTCTTTGGCTTTCATTCCTGCTTCATGGATTTTTTCAAGGATAAAGTTTGTAATTAAGTTGTGGATAGGGTTCATCCATTTCCATGGTGATTAAAGATAGTCCTTTAGTGGAGGCTATGTTTAGTAAAACTCAGCCATTATCCACCTCCACAATTTGTAAAAATTATTGTCACCACCCAGCTGTCTTATCTTTTTTGATAGTATGAAGGACAAATCAAAGTAGTCAACAAGCACAATTGAAAAGAAAAATTCCAGTTGCTATGCCAAAATTTGCCACAAGATGTCCTCAGCAGACCACAAAATTTTTTCCCAAATGCCAAATAGCCCCTTATTCAGTTAAAACACACAAAAAAGGTAATATTTTACAAAGTTAATAGTTAAAGAAGTTAAAAAAGATGCTAAGTCTCTATAATAAAAAGTTTTGGGCCCCCAAGGTGTCCACAAAACAAAGATCAAATTATTTGGTTGTTGAAGTTAGTAGTTCTTTCCTTTTCTTTCCAAGCTGTAAAATCCCACATATGCAAACACCGCTGAATTGAGAGCAGGGAAACGAATTTGAAAAAGCTTTCACAGGAAGGTAGTTAGGGAAAAAGAGAGGTTAAAAAAAGATCTCACCCAAATCCTCCACTCCTGCTTCATATGCTTAGCTGTTATTGGGACTTTCGGCTGGTGCAACATGTTAATGGTTGATCTTTTCTTCGTCAGTCCTAGGGAGCTGCCTCAGATCAAACAGAAGGGCTGCCGTGATCTTGCAAGGATCCTCCCCAATGGTGGTCACCCCTCCAGGGCGACTTTCGACCCTTTCCAGGGTCTTCTGACGAAGGAAAAACAGACAGCAGGGAAAAGCCTCCCCCTGTGCATCCAAAGGCATCACAATCCGGAACCAGAAGTCAGATAAGACTTGGAAACTTTCACTTTTGAAGACTGCAGCTGGGAAAATGGGGGGGGGAACCCTTGGGCTGCTTATCTGTGTGGCAGAGACGATAAACTATTTTGAAACCTGTAAACCAGCCTGCCTGGATTACAAATACAAACACTAACTGATTTTTAGAGCCTTGTCATGGAGCTATTTCTCTGGTAGAAGAAACATGCATTACTGATTGAGATGATGGAATACTTTGGATTATAAACCTTTGATTGATGAACAACTTTGAATTGCTTTTTTCTCTCTGGAATGAAAGGATATGATTTTCATTGGACAGAAAAAATTGAATTTTGCTTATATTTGTTTAGGGGAGGCCTAAGGATGGACTGATAGGCTGGCTTGATAATTTGGAGTTCAAATGACAATTGACTGAAACTTTTTAAATCGTTAAATAGATCGTACTATAAAGACCACATATAAAAACAAAATGGATGTTCCATACTTAGCCTTAAATGGTAAAAAACCATCCCTAACACTAGTCTTCAAAGCCAAAATCCAAGCAAAAAAGCATTGACTTTCTGGGAAATCTGGCAGGGAAGATTGCAAATAGTGATCACATGACCACAGGACACTTGGAACCATAGTCCATAATCCCTTTTCCATGGCGGAGTGTGTTGTTTTGTGATTGTCAAAGAGTGTTTTAAAGGCTGTGAAACACTCTTTCCAAAACTGTCCTTAATTTGATTTGTCATAAAGTAAATAGACATAAGTCAAGGGTTATCTGTAACAATATAACATTTCAGTTTCTCACTTTTTTTTTTAGAAACAATTTAAGAGCTCCCAAGTTGATATAATTAAAATTTCTTACTTTTGAAAAGTTAGTACTGCTTCGGTAAAGCATTTTTCTGTGAAGCATTCATCTTTATTACTTTTTACTGACAACAATAAAAATTAAATAATAAGAAAATAAACTTTTGATAGCCTTTAGATAATGACATTCCTGCTAAGATGCAGGTTAAGAATATCCTGCAGCTTAAAACAGCTGTTATTAGCAAACTAAACATTGTTATTTTCCATTTCTGCACACTAAATTTCTTTAATGTACATCAATTCTTCTATTTAATAAAAAAAAGATTTAATTGGGTTTGCACTTTTTGCACACTTCTTAAACAAAACTGAAACTGAAAAAAGCTTAGAATGATTTTATTCTATTAAAAAGCTATTATGCTACTATTTGTGATATGTAACATATTTCTCTCTATTTCTTGTTTTTTTCTTTACAATGAAGTTGAAATTGGGGAAGACAAGGAGAAAACAAGGTAACTCCTACTCTCACAGAAAGATAAGTAAAATTATCACTAAGTGACAACAACAAACAGACAGCCAAAGTGATAGTGAATGGAGATTACACTGAGAGCTTTGAGATAAGAAAAGGCACGAGGCAAGGGTGTCCACTATCTCCATTATTATTTATCTTTACTTTGGAAGTGTTAAATAGAAGGATTAGACAGGACATAGAAATTAAAGGATTGAAAATAAAAGACGAAAATATGTTACAAGCACTTGCCGATGATCTTGGAAGAACCTTTAGAGATTCCTAAGCTATGGGGAAAGATAAAAGAGTATGGAGAAATGGCAGGATTAAAAATAAATAAAGAAAAAACTAAAGTAATAGTTAAGAACCTTACAGATAAACAAAAAAGGCAAATGCTAGAGAAAAGAGAGGTACAGATAGTGGAAAAAAGTTAAATACCTAGGTATTCATCTTTCGGCCAAATGCTCATCAATAAAAGAAGACAATTATACAAAATTATTGAAGTAAATAAAGCTAGACTTGTAAAGATGTAAAAATCTGCAGCTGTCAATATTAGGAAGAATTGCTACAGTAAAAATGAATGTATTGCCGAAGATTTTATTTTTATTTCAAACAATTCTGATAAAACTTGAGACATTTTTTTTTCAAGATTTAAATTCATTAATTTTGAACTTCATTTGGCAGGGGAAGAAAGCTAAATTAAAATGAAAACACTACAAGATGCTAAGGAAAATGGAGGCTTTGGGCTGCCGGAATGGGCGTTGTACTATCAAGCGTCTGTTTTAACATGGGTGAAAGAATGGCTAATGCTTAGAAACAAAAGGTTGTTGTACTTAGAGGGACATGATTTACAATTGGGGTGGCACACTTTCTTATGGTATGGGAAAAACAGAGTCCATAAGTATTTTCAAAATCACTTTGTAAGAAATTCCTTGTTAACAGTATGGAAAAAAATTAAAGCTAAAATATATCTAAAAATTCCAGGGTGGTTATCAATGATGGAGGCATTTGTACATCCAAACTTGGTAGACTTTGAAAAAATATGGGCATATAGAGATATTCTAAATATTGATGAGAATTTAAAATCTAAACAAGAACTGGAAAACCAGGGAATCAACTTGTCATGGTGGGCACATTTACAGACACAAAGTAGATATGAAAAAGATATAAAAATGTATGGATTTTATAACGATTAAACTGTGTTTGATAAGATTTTGTTAACCTCAGATGAGAAATTAATTAAGAAAATGTATAATTTTTTGTTAATTTTGGGAATGGAAAGCAAACAAGTGAAAGAAACAATGATAAGATGGGCGAAAAATTTTGGCTATAATATAGAACTAGAAAAATGGCAAATGTTATGGGAGAGAAACTACAAACTAACAATGTCAACTTTATATAAAGAAAACTTGTATAAAATGTTTTATAGATGGCACCTGCCACCAGCAAGATTAGCAAAAATGTTTAAAAATATGTCAGATAGATGTTGGAAATGTAAACATAATATAGGCATGTACTACCACATTTGGTGGACATGTGACAAGGCTAAGGCTTATTGGAGAAAGATACATACGTGGTTAGAAAAAATATTGGGTGAACAGGTTGATTTTAAACCTGAACTGTTTTACTAGGTATAATGCCTGAAAAGATTAATAAGCAGAGTCTATATTTAATCTTACACATCACCTCAGCAGCAAGAATAATTTTCGCACAATACTGGAAGAATGAAGGATTGCCATCAGAAGAAGAAATAATCAGGAAAATATTGGAATGTGCAGAGATGGACAGACTAACTATGAGACTGAAAGATAAAGAAGACACAGACTACTATCAAATTTGGGATTTATTTTATTGTTGGTTAAGGAAAGAATGAAGGATTAGGAATTGAATATGTATTAGCATAGCTAATCCCAGACAACTCGTTGATTGGAAAAATTAACATATATTTATGAAAAAAACCAATAAAATCTTTATTTTTCAAAAAAAAAAAAATATCACTAAGTCCTTGCCCTAAACTGCACAACTGTGAAATATTCACTTTTTTTTTTGACAAAAATCACATCACTAGTTTGAAGAAACTAGGCAAGGGGAGAACATGAGAATGTCTGAAAAATTAACTTTATTGGGATCCCAGGAAGAAGACAACCCTGTATAGGCTTTTTAGTATCATTCCAGTTACTTAATATCTCACTTGCACCTGGATAAAAAATCCAAAAATAATGCAATCAGACTAAAATACAGCTTGGCTTCATTTTTCCTGAATTCACTTTCCAATAATCAGTGTCCACCACATTGACAAGAAAGAAGTAATCCTAAGCAATCCTTCTCTAGGACCAAATCGTGTTATAGAGGTTTTGAGTTTTAAGAGATCACTTAGAGAAAACTTCATCAATGAGTTTATTCCACAGCATCTATCTCCTGCTATTGTCACAACAGTTTTTTTTCTTTACTTGTTTAGGATACAAAGTGTAAAACAGAAATCAAGAGAAATGAGAACTGACAATACTCCCATAAGTCATAATGTATGCATGCAAAGAGGATAAGGGAAGAGATAGCTAAGCAAAGATAAATAAGATCAAGGACAAGTTTTTAACAGTTGATACTGTTATTGATATTGCAATAAAGTGAACCACTATAGTTACCCAACAAAGCTAATTCCAGGTAACAGTCTGATTTTAAACCAATACTTCATTATTTTTCTAATTAACAAGAAGATATTCCCAAATTCTTTTCTTATCACAATTTCTTTATACAAGGGCAATTCGGAAATAAACCTCCACTTGGCTATCAATGACAGACACTCACAAATACAGAACTTTTATTATACACATTAGAAATCTACAACCATTACATTACTTTTCGACATAATCGCTATTCAAATTGAGGCACTTGTCATAATGTCTTACAAGGTTTGAAATTCCTTAGTAGTAGTCACTCGGTGCCAAATCTGGGCTATGGAAGGGGTGATCAAAAATATCCCTATGGAACTGCTTCAAAAGTTCTTGGGTGCATCTAGCAGTGTGTGGGCAAGCATTATTGTGAACATCATACCAGAAGTGGTGCCATAAAACAGGGCTTTTCAACCTTTTTACCGATTGTACCACTTTTAGGATATGGCAATATTCGAGTACCACCTAGCAAGATGTCAAAAACTTGATGACCCAAAAAAACAAAAACCTGTTCAAAGTTGCAATTGCACTGAAATGACTTATGATCATTTTTCACACTTATGACCATTGCAGCATGCCCAGGGTCATGTGATTTATATTTGGATGTTTGGCAACTGATTCATATTTATAATGGTCAGTGTTCCAGGGTCGTGTGATCCCCTTCTGCAACCTTTTGACAAGCAAAGTCAATGGCAGAGCTTCTGGTGGCCAAGTGCTAAGGCGGGACTTTCTTTCCTCCCTCCCTTCCCTGCCTACCTTTTTCTCATTCCCATCTCCTTCTGAAGGAAGAATTTGAACCCCCCCCCCATATTTTCCCTCTTCCAAATATTGATCAAACAAGGAAAGGCCTCCAGAGACAGAAAAGACAAGCTGCTGCGTGAACTAGCTTAAAAAGGCACATTCCCCTTTAAGAATTAGCTAACAAGAAAGGAAAGTAAGGAGCACAGCCGGCACTTAAGGAAGAAAAAAAATGTAAGTACTGGCTGCAGGCTAAGGCAGCCTCCCCAAATGGCTCCATTCATAAGTAAAGGAATGCTACAGGCAAAATCCATTCAAGAGAAAAATATTTCAGAATCCCTTGCAGCAAAACTTACAGCTAACAACAGCAGAGCAATAGAAGCTAACACCAGCCATCAGCCAAATAGAAATTGCCAAACACTCCTTAAGAACACAAAGCCCTCATTGCACAAATCCCAGAACTTCAAAGTCACAAAAGCACAGAAGAATCCTTCCATTCTCCATCTCCTTCCCTCCTCTGTGCCTCACCTCCAGCCATTGCTGCCTTTTATCAGTCCT